AGGGCCAGCGGGGGCGGGGGGGAGCTGGGGAGGGATAGCCTGGGAAGAAATGCCAAATGTGGGTGAAGGGGAGAAAGGAAGCAAAACACACTGCCATGTGTGTACCTACGCAACTGTCTTGCATGTTCTGCACATGTACCCCAAAACCTAAAATGCAGTAAAAAATTAAAAAAACAAAAAACTTCAAATAGAACTTTGTTCTCACTTCAGACAAGAATATATATAAAAAAGAAAAGAAACAAAACAAACCAAAACAAGGACTACTACATGGCCCAGCCATCCCACTACTAGGTATTTATCCAATGGAAATAAAATGAGTATATCAGAGTGACGTCTGCACCCCTATGATTATCACAGCACTATTCACAATAGCCAAGATATGGAATCAACCTAGGTGTCCAGCAACAGATGAATGGATAAAGAAAATGTGGTGTCTGGGCTCATGCCTGTAATTCTAGCACTCTGGGAGGCCGAGGCAAATGGATCACTTGAGGTCAGGAGTTTGAGACCAGCCTGGCCAACATGGTGAAACCCCATTTCTGCTAAAAATACAAAAATTAGCCAGGCATGGTGATGGGTGCTTGTAATTCCAGCTACTTGGAGGGCTGAGGCAGGAGAATCACTTGAACCCAGAAGGCGGAGGTTGCAGTAAGCTCAGATCACACCATTGCACTCCAGCAGCCTAGGAGACAGAGACTCTGTCTGAAAAAAAAAAAAAAAAAGGAAACTTGGCATAGATACAGAATGGAATACTATTCAGCCACAAAAGGAATGAAATTTTGTATTCACAAAAACATGGATGGAACTGGAGGACATTATGTTAAGTGAAATAAGCCAGGCACAGAAAGACAAAGATTGTATGTTCTCACTCATATATACAAGTTAAAATAAAGTTGACTTCATAGAAGTGAAAAGTAGAACAGAGTACTAGAGACTGTGAAGTTTAGGGGGAAGGGAGGATAAGGACAGATTTGTTAAAGGATACAAAATAACAGCTAGATAGGAGGAATAAATTCTAGTGTTCTATGCCACTGTAGGAGAATTATAGTATGAAATAGCTAGAAGATGGTACTGAAAGTTCACAACACAAATAAATGATAAATTTGTGAGATGACAGTAATTACTCTGATCTGATCACTATATATGTATGCTAATTACCCTGATCTGGTCACTATGTATGTATGAAACATCACTATGTACCCTGTGAATATGTACAATTATTTGTCAATTTAAAAGAAAAATGTGGTGGCCAGGCACGTTGGCTAATGTCTGTTATCTCAGCACTTTGGGAGGCCAAGACAGGTGGATCACCCGAGGTCATGTGTTCAAGACCAGCCCGGCCAACATGGTGAAACCCCATCTCTACTAAAAATACAGAAAAATTAGCTGGGCGTGATAGGAAGTGCCTGTAATCTCAGCTACTCCAGAGGTGAGGCAGGAGAATCACTTGAACCTGTGAGGCAGAGGTTGCAGTGAGCCAAGATCGCACCACCGCACTCCAGCCTGGGTGACAGAGCAAGATTCCATCTCAAAAAAAAAAAAAAGAAAGAAAAAGAAAAATGTGGTATATATGCACAAAGAAATATTATTATATTATTAAGTCATAGAAAAGAATGAAATTCTGTCATTTGCAGGAACATGAAACTAGGGGTCATTTTTATGTGAAATAAGCCATACACAGAAATACAAATACCTCATGTTCTCACTTATATGTGGGAGCCTAAAAAGTGGATCTCTCCTATAGAGAAATAATAAATGTTTGAGGGTATGTGTATTTCAATTACCCTGGTTTTATCGTTACACATTGTGTGCTTATATCAAAATATCACATGTACTCCATAAATATGTACAACAATTAGTTATCCATAAAATTATAAGTAAAAAGGGGGATCTCATGAAGACAGTAGATTGGTGGTTACCAAAGGGCAGAAAGAGTGTGGGGAGGGAGTTGATTAATGGATACAAACATACAGTTAGATAGGAAAAATAAAACTGGTATTTGATAGATCAGTAGGGTGACTATAGTTAATATTAATCTATTATACATTTAAAAATAACTAGAAGAGAACAATTTGAATGTTACTAGCATACAGAAAAGATATAGCCAGGTGCAGTGGCTCATACCTGTAATCCCAACATTTTGGGAAGCTGAGACAGGAGAACCACTTGAACCCAAGAGTTCAAGATCAGCTTGGGCAACGTAGTGAAACCCTGTTTCCACCAAAAAAAAATTTTTTTTTAATTAGCTGGGTGTGGTGGTGCACACCTGCAGTCCCAGCTACTCAGGAGGCTGAGGATAGAGGATCATCTGACCCCAGGAGGTCAAGGCTGAAGTGAGCTATGATTGCACCACTGTTCTCTCTAGCCTGGGTGACAGAGCAAGACTCTGTCTCAAAAAAAAAAAAATTATATTTAAGGTGTTCGATATCCTGATTACCCTGATTTGATTCTATTAATATATCAAATTATCATCACATTACCCTGTAAATATGCATCTATTATGAATCAATAAAAACATAAAGAAAATATGAAATGACATAGGTCAGGTACATTGTTATCCTTGATAGAAAAAAATAATTTCTCATGTGGCATTTTGTTTAGGGACTATTTGGGAATAACAACTATTATTTAGGGATATGGCAAGAGCCATCCTCAATAAAAATCTTATAGCAAATACAGTAATGTTTCTTGTCAGTTTATGCAAAAGCTGATCCAACTAATTTAAAAAGAAATTTAAGAAGGGAGGTTGATATACCACCTTGCTTTATATAATGTTGAAATTTTATGCAATTACTGTAACTATACGGTTTTAAACACTTTTAAATGTGGGAAGAAATGCTTTGATAGCATAAGGTGAGAGAGGTCATCTGAAATTAAGGCTAGTGCTACATGGGATTGAAAACTTGAGCAAAAAGCAGAGGTTTAGAATACCTGCAGTACATTTACAGTTCATTGAGAATAAAAAGTCAAAAAAGCTGACTGAAGATGAAATCCTACTCCAAAGAGTTAAAGAAACTAACAGCAGATATTCTTGGGTTAGCAGGATGAAACAGAAGAAGCAACTTGCTGAAAAGCTGAAACTTTCTTTGCTATTAATAATAAGATAACACGGGTTGGGCACGTTGGCTCATGCCTGTAATCCCAGTACTTTGGGAGGCTGAGGTGGGCAGATCGTGAGGTCAGGGCTGCGAGACCAACCTGATCAATATGGTGAAACCCTGTCTCTACTAAAAATACAAAAATTAGCCAGGCCTGGTGGCGCATGACTAATCCCAGCTACTTGGGAGGCTGAGGCAGAAGAATTGCTTGAACCCAGGAGGGAGAGGTTGCAGTGAGCCAAGATTGCGCCACCACACTCCAGCCTGGGTGACAGGGAGACTTCATCTAAAATAATAATAATAATAAGGTAACAAAACTGACTAAAATTAGTTGAAACCAATATGGCCAACTATAGTTTGCACAGAATGAGTTTGCTGACATTACAGCCTGAATTTCTACCATATGTTTCATATTAACTCCCTCTGAATTTGCACATGGGACCCATGAGAAGGCATGAAGAGATAAGTACACATGCCTGAGGACTTCCCAGATCTCCTTTTCTTCCACCAATCACATACTAATTTCAGAATGCTCCCCCTGAACCTTTTCTAATAAAAATACTGCCTTGAAGCCAGCATAGGGAGACAGATTTGAGTTGGACTCCTCTCTCTTTGTTGGTTGACTTGCAATAAAAAGCTTTTCTTGGCCAGGTGCAGTGGCTCATGCTTCTAATCTTTGCAGTTTTGGAGTCTGAAGTGGGAGGATCACTTGTGCTCAGGAGTTCGAGACCAGCCTGGACAATATCGTGAGATCCCATCTCTAAAAATAATTTTTTAAATTTAAATTAGCTGGGTGTGGTGGCATATGCCTGAAGTCTCAGCTACTTGGAAGGGTGAGGCAAGAGGATTGCTTGAGACTGGGAGATCGAGGTGGAAGTGATCCACCATCAAGCCACAGCACTCTAGGCTGGTAACAGAGCAAGACCTTATCTGGGAAAAAAAAAAAAAGGAAGCATTTCTTTTCCCTTTTCTCAAAAACCCAATTACATAGTATTTGCTGCAATCACATTGAGCAGTGAGCCTCTTTTACTTGAGGACAAAGATATACATAATTCAATGGATTTAGTTTACTTTAAAAATAAGCCAGCCGGGCCAGTGGGCTCACGCCTGTAATCCCAGCATTTTGGGAGGCTGAGGTGAGCAGATCACCTGATGTCAGGAGTTGAAGACCAGCCTGGCCAACATGGTGAAACCCTGTCTTTACTAAAAATACAAAAATTCACTGGGCATGGTGATGGGAGCCTATAATCCCAGATACTTGGGAGACTGAGGCAGGAGAATCACTTGAACTCACATAAATGATTAGATTACAAAATGTGTATTTACACAATCTTGACATCAAGAACAAAAAGTCAAATAAATTTGTGATGAAATATATATAGTATAGTAACGGATCTATAATTTCAGAAAGCTAAAATGTTGCCCTTTTTTGAAAAAAAATGGTAGCTTATACCCAATAAATACTGCCTTAGTGGCGTACTGTAAATCCTGATATACTGTGTTTTCATTTTATTTGTTAAAAATATTTCTTACTTTCCTTTGAGACTTCCTCTTTAGAATCATGATTATCTAGAAATGTGTTATTTAGAAGTTATGATAGTTTTCAATGATTTCTCTGTGTTAGATGTTCATGTATCACGTGCACTTAAAAAGAATATGGATTTAGCTCCTGTTGGGTTGAATGTTCTATAAACGTCAATTAGATCCAGTTGATCAATGGTAGTAACATCAATATGTGGCATCCAAGGTTTCCCTGGGGATCATCTCCATCCCAGTCAGCCTAAAGGGGGAAAGAGCATGAAGAAAATTGCCTGGAATGTTTTTATGACATCACTTCCACTCAAATTCTATTGGTTACAACTAGGTCATATGGCTTCACCTAATGGTATGAGAAGCTGGATCATGTAGTCTAGCTTTTTGCCTGGGAAAAAGAAAGAAATGTATTTAGGCTAACAACGAGAAATCTCTTTCTATTCTCTGGAAGTGCTCATATAAGATAAGAAATACTTGAATCATGGGTATACAGTAGAAATTGTAAAGTTCTATTTTCTTTGGGGGAAATTTTGTAACTATTGATTCAGTTTAGTGGATACCGTTCATATATGTATTTTTTATTGAATCCATTTTCTGAGGATATATATGTTTTCTATTACTTCTTGAGTCACTTTATATAAGTTACTTATTAGGTATATGTTATTTTGCATAAGTTTTAAAGTAAGCATAAATTCATTGAAAGTATTTATTTTAACCTTTGCTCTATCTGTAATTATGTTCTTTCTTCATTTTTAATATTATTTATTATGCCTTCTATATTTTTCATTTGGTTAATCTTACTAGAGATTTGTCCATTTTATTAGTTTTTATCAAGATCATAAACTTTATTTCATTAATTTCTGTTCCTTCTTATTTTCTTCCTCTACTTTCTTTGGGTTTATTTTGCTGGTCTTTTTCAACTTGTAATGTATATGCTAGGCTCATTCATTTTCAAACTTCTTTTCTAATACATGCATTAGGGCTACATATTTTCCTTAAATTTTGTTCCAGCTGTGTTGCTATGAGTATTTATGCATAGTATTTTCATTATTATTTAGTTCTGTGTATTTTCTAGGTTCCACTGATTTCTTCTTTAACTAGTGAGTTATTTACAATGTGATTTTTAAACTTCCCCTAGCACAGGAGCTTTTCTTAGGATATATTTCAGGTTAATCGAGATTAATTGCATTATTGTCAGGGAACATGGTATATATAATAATGATTTTATAAAACTTGTTGGGTCTTGGCCAGGTACAGTGGCTCACACCTGTAATCCCAGCACTTTGAAAGGCTGAGGTAGAGGAATCACTTGAGGCCAGGAGTTCAAGACCAACCTGGGCAACATAGAGAGACTCCATCTCTACAAAAAATTTAAAAATTAGCCAGGCATGGTGGCACACATGTGTAGTCCTAGCTACTTAGGAGGCTGAGGTGGGAGGAGCAGTTGAGCCCAGGAGTTTGAGACTATGGTGAGCTATGATCATGCCATTGTACTCCAGCCTGGGCAACAGAGTGAGATCTTGTTTCAAAAAATAAATAAATAAAAATAAGAACCCCACAAAAGCCACAAAAAAAACAAAAGCTTGTTGAGTCTTGCTTTACGGCATGCTAAGTTTCAGATGTCTTTCCTTTTTTTTTTTTTTTGGAGACTGAGTCTTACTTGGTCACCCAGGCTGGAGTGCAGTGGCACAATCTCGACTCACTGCAATTTCTGCCTCTTGGGTTCAAGCAATTCTCCTGCCTCAACTGCCCTACTAGCTGGGACCATAGGCACACACCATCACTCTGGTTAATCTTGTGTACTTTTAGTAGAGACAGGGTTTCACCATGTTGGCCATGTTGGTCTTGAATTCGTGACCTCAGGTGATCCACCTTCCTTGGCCTCCCAAACTGCTGGGATTACAGTCATGAGCTGCTGCGCCCAGCCATTATGTTATTAATTTCTTATAACATTATCTTATTTATTCCTTGCTATAATTCTGTGAGATAGTATAATTCTCATTGTTTCAAGTGAGAACATTAAGATTCATCCAGTATAATAAGTAGCTTTTCAAAATTCACAGATCCAGTTAGGCTTATATCAGATCAATATGGTCCACTTTACATACTGGCTGCACATCAGCCCTGCATATATTTCATTATAGATTTTTAAATCTCGGAGTAAAGATTAATTCTTATTGTAAATAGCTTTTTATCTCCCTGTGCCCCCCCCATACAGTGTTTCACATATATTTGCTGTTCAACAGATATTTGTTGATTGGACTAAACTATTTTTATACAGCATAAACCTAAGAATGAAATCCGACAAAACTCAAGAAGAGCAAAATAAACAGGTAGTTTGCGAATACTCAAAAATAAAAGCAGGACTTATAGTTCTGGAAACATTGAAAAAAATAATCTGAAAATATTCCTGGTACAAATACTTAGTACTTCTGATTTAATATATAGATCTATAACAGATAAATATGTAACACATAAATATATAAATATGTGAATATAGGCAGGCTGAAGAAGAAGGACTTACAAATGCAGTTATAGAATTGGGAGGAAAAACAAGTGAATTTAAGTTACAGACATTAAAGCAAGAGAGGGAGAAAAGTCAATAGTGACCTTTTGATTTTGTGTTAATGAAGTTATTAATCACTGTGGAAATAGAAGTTGTATGTAAGTAGAAATTTTTATTTAAAGAAGTTTGGCTATAAATGGTAAGGAAAGGCCCAATTGTAAGCTAGAGGGTGCTGTAGGGAGAGAGTTTTATTTATTTTCAGATGGAAAAGTCATAATCAGGTTGAAGACTTAATCCCTTTGACTAGGCTATTTCTTACGGTCTAGATCTTAAGATTCGGCTCAGGTGTCATTTCTAGAAAACTACTTTTGCATTGGGTCAAACTCCCTCTGTTGTTATAGCACTGTAAACAGGTTATTCTCATAGCACGTAGGACATTTTAAGGAACATAGATGTTTAAATGATTCGTTCTCTTCTAGACTGTATGCTCCATGATAATGTGTTTTTGTTTTTGTTTTTTTTTTGAGACCAAGTCTTGCTCTGTCACCCAGGCTGGAGTGCAGCAGTGCAATCTTGGCTCACTGCAACCTCTGCCTCCTGAGTTCAAGCAATTCTCCCATCTTAGCCTCCCAAGTAGCTGGGATTACACATGGGAGCCACCAAGTCTGGCTAATTTTTGTGTTGTTTTGTTTTGTTTTAGTAGAGATGGGGTTTTGCCATGTTGGCCAGGCTGGTCTTGAACTCCTTACCTCAGGTGATCTGCCCACCTCGACCTCCCAAAGTGCTGGGATTACTGGCATGAGCCACCACACCTGGCCTGTTACTTATCTCTGAATCATCAATTCTTGACTAGTATTTGGCAATAGAAAATTATCAGGCAATGTTTAACCATACAGCCTTAAAAAAAACTTTCTTCTATCTTTCTTTCATAAGATCTTCCTATGTCTTTATTTTGTATTATTCCATTATAACACCCATAATACTTTGAAATTGAACTTTAAAAATATGTATGTCCTTCCTACTAAGCAGCATACTTCTTGAGGGGAAGAACCTTATATTATTCATTTTTTAATACTAGCATTTATCATTCATTCATTGAATATTTAATCATTTATTGAGTAACCAATCAGTCATTATTCCAAACTCTGAGAATAGAATAGTGGAAAAGACTTGTGTTCTATTGGTTCTAAGAAGACAGACAATAGACAATAAACCAATAAATAAAGAATATTGTTAATGATTATTATTAAAGACAAAGAAATAGGGTGACAAAATAGATCCCACACTATTGAAAATGGGTGGGATCTTACTAGGGCCAAAAAAAAAAAACCCCAAAAAAACAAAAAATGGGAAGTTATTACTTTAGATAGGATACTTAAGAGGGGAGTCAAAGAAGTAAAAATACTACCTTTGTATATAACATTATTTTATGATATATATTGACTAAACCTTCAGAGTAGGAGCAGAACGTAGTGATCAGACAGTCACGCCTTCTCATTTTACAAATTGATTCAGACAGAAAGCAAGATTTGTTGAAGGTATTTGCAAATATGTAATTTATCTTTCCTGTGGTAAAATGTTTTGGAAACTTTCATGTTCTTTATATCTCATTGAAATTCCCCTGAGAGGTAAATGATTCTTTTAAACCAAGGGCTGGAATTGTGTACTAGTCACACCTATTTTCTGTCCTAATGGAGAATTTTTAAGGAGGGGAAAGGGAAAAGGGCAGAGATTCTCAGAGGTGAAAGTTAAGTGGGCTATAAACAGTGATACAAATATAGAATGTGCTACAAGGAGACTTGCAATATCTAAATAGATGAGTCAGGAATTACATATGAAGCATTAAATTTTTTCTGATTTTTCTAAGATATTCGTGGTAGAATATTTGATATACAGAAAGGTCTAGAGTGAAACTTTTACCTATAAGCCCTTACCCCAGGAATAACCAATGTTGATTTTTTTTTATATAAATAACATTTCCTCTCTCTCTCACTCTTTTTTTTTAACAAAATTGAGATTATATTATGTCTATATATTTCTAAATATTTGAGGAAAGGAAATCAGCCTTGGCAAAAAAGTGAGACCATGTCTCTAATAAAAGTAAAAAGATTACCCAGGAATGGTGACACGTGCCTGTAATCCTAGTTATTTGGGAGGCCAAGGTAGAAGGATCCCTTGGGCCCCAGGAGTTCAAGGTTGCAGTGAACTATGATTGTGCCACTGCATTCCAGCCTGGGCAACAGAGTCAGACCCTGTCTCCAATATATATTGGAGAAAAGCAGAAAAATGAAAAGGAAACAGAATAGCAAACACCCATGTAATCTCCTCATAAATGAACTTTTTTTTGCTCATGTAAGCTTCAGATTTGTAATTTTTTTTTTCTTTTTGAGGCAGAGTCTCACTACAGGCATGTGCCACCACTCCCAGATAATTTTTGTATTTTTAATAGAGACAGGGCCAGGCTGGTCTCGATCTCCTGACCTCATGATCCACCTACCTCGGACTCCCAAAATGCTGGGATTACAGGAGTGAGCCACCGTGCCTGACCCAGATCTGTAATTTTTTTTAAGGAACTTTAATATTGAGCATGGTGGCTCATGCCTATAATACCAGCTACTCAGGAAGCTAAGATGAGAGGATCACTTGAGGCCATGAGTTCAAGACCAGCCTGGGTGATAGAGAGAGACCCCCCCACCGCCCACTTACATGCCACTCCATAAATGGCTGCTCCAAAGGTAGTGAGTCTCAATTGATTGTTCACAGTCAGTTGCAGATCAAACTTTTTGTTCAGTTCTTCCTCCTCTTATCACTGCTGCACTTAGCTAGTCTAAAAAAGTGTTTAAAAAAAGAAAAAGAAAAGAAATATTACAGATAAAGTCTAAGTTTGTGTTCTGTCTACCGTGCCATCTACCTCTTTCCCCAGTTTCCAATTTGTGGGCTATGTCAAGTAGTGCTCCTATAAATATTTTAGCACATATT